CGTGACTTTGGCACGCGTCGCGTTCCGTCTGCCGACCCACGGTCATTTTCCATTGTTGGTCATTAATTTGAAGGCAAGTGTGTTTGGGGTTTAACTAGCGGACGCGCGCCTTTCGTCACCAAAACCGCACACGTACAGCCGTACATCCCATCGATAGACAGGGTGACCCGTTGGGAATCGAAAGGGGTATCGGGTTCATTGGTTTCAGTAAACAAAAATCGAAATATCACCATATTTTGACTTCATTTTTTATTTAATATTATATATTTTGAAATGAATCATAATGAAATGAAAAACTATGATGAGATATACATAGGCTTTTTTAAGTTTATTGATAAGACTTCTTAAGTTTTAACAATATATTTATAATAATAAAATCAATAGTCTTGGTAAATTTATTTTCTTTTAAACCATACTAAAAGCCTTGTATTATAAGTAGTAGTAGTATATATTAAGTAAATAAATGTACTGGTAATGGTAACAATCTAATGGTTTTTATTAAATGAGATTATCCCCATGATCGTAGTATGTTCCAAATCCATCATATTTAAATGTGAGTATTTTAATATTCATTTATTCAGAAGTATTTCCCTCCCAGCACCCTGTACGCCCATATGCTTCGACCACTTTGTCATCCGACTCACGTAGGGGACTCACGTATGCCAGCCCCGAAAAGGATTGTCCACGCTTTTGGTCAAGTTTAGCCCGGTTAGGTCCTTGGTCCTTGGTTCTTGGCCATCAGCTCGATTAGATGTTGTGGCCTGGCTGCGTCCTTGCGGTCATGTTTTGTGGATTCAACCTAGCTGACCGTCTGGTCTGGCTCTTCCCCGGAAAACGGTGGAAGGGGGGTCAGATTGCGAGGTTTCGAGGTGTCAGACAGCTAGCAGGCGTTAAAAAATGTTTTAGCAGCGCATTTTTGAGGTTAACAGCGTGCACGTGCTGGGCCAAAAGGGGAGTGGGTTTAATGGAGGGGTTGGAGATTGGGGACTGGGGATTTGGCCAAAAGGTGGCGACAATCGCCCGGTCGAGTGCTGAAAGAGATTTATCTAGCCTCGCTGTACGTGATGGCAACAATCGTGTCAAGCGCCGCCGGACTGCCATGAATTATGACGAATATGTTCGGGTGTGTATGGTACTTCCAAGTGGATTCCAAGTCTTGTAAATCTCGGCCAAATCTCCGGCAGGCGTGTGTGTGCTTCTAGGCAAGACAAATAAACTGCAATCGTTGGGGCATAAATCCTAATTCAAGTTTGATTATCTGTCCCCTTTGGGAAGAGAGTGGCTTTAAGGCAGCTGCTGCAGCTGTCTGGGTAGTCAAAACAAAGGCTTAATGTGGCTGGCAGGCAGTGCTATCGGATGCCCCACTTTCAAATCCCAGAAACGGAAACAAAGTCCCCAAGTCCCAATTTCCCAGGCGAGCATTAACGAACATTTCCTTTGTCTGCACAGTGAAAATGAAGGTATCGCTTGTCAAGGTTTTTGTCATAACATCAAGATTATAACATTTCAAAAGTCAACAGAGTTGTTTTTCACAGTGCTAGGTAAAATATATTAAAACGATTACTGAACGTAAATGAAAGCTAGCTTAAGGAAAGGTTTATTATTTGTAGAAATAAATCTTAAGGGTAAGGTAAAGTAAAATAAGAGCTACCAAATAATATCTTAGGAATTTTCTGTGAGTTTAGAAAGTTAAAAGTTAAAATCATTAATCTTAGCAAATTTTGTAATAAATATAAAAAGGCTAGAATATAATTTAGTGTTTTTTAAGATACATTTTTTTATCATCCAACAAAAGGAAATCTAAAAAAATACCACTTTAAGTGAGTTCCTAAGAACTCATCTTGTGTTGTTTCAGTGATAAGCATTTCCATGCAATCCAAGTCCCTTGGATAAGCGAAAGTCAAGGCAAAACCTGGAACATTAAATCCGTGCAGCCATTAACATTTACGATTTCGCATCCGGAGGTCAGACATTCACTCACACGCACGAATGGCAGATGTTTGCCATCGAGGATTGGATGCGGCCCGGAAAGCCCGAAAAGTCCGAGGAGCCCAAAATGGGAGGCGTTTAACAGGCGATGGCAACTGAAAACACATCCTGCGATATCCTGTGATATGTGAAGTGAGCGAAAGGGGCAGTGGCAAATGGCAGGGGCAATGCAATTCTGAAAACCGACCAGGACCATCTCTATTTGTTTGCAGTTTATCTGGGGGACTGGTACCTGGAGTGCTCGTACACCCATTGGCCCCGTGTGATCGCCTTAGTGAGTCAGTGGGCCGGAAAGCGGGCAAAGATTTCCACCCACCTGGGGTTTGGTTGCGTCTAAAGTTTTGCATTTTAATAGCCTCTTAACTGCCAACCATTTGCACTGTGTTTGTTTATGTTGCCACAGGTAGAGGCTGGTGGAAGCCAAGTCTTTTGGCCAGGTGTGGCCTCCCATCCCCACAGAGATTTGCATGCGATTGCATTTTCAACTTGGCCAATTTTCGGTCCAGTTGTAGGCTCTTAAAAGCGTTCTGCTCCCCTCAACCGAATTTGGTTTCGAATGCGAAAACACATCAATTGGCAGTCAGTCATAGTGAGTTTGGTTTAGGATTTTAGGTTGGAAATTGTTGCGATACGCCGGCAATGGGATTAATTGTTTCTTGCAATTAGCTGAGGTTGCATTGCTTAGATACTGAAGTTCACCTCAATCTGGTAGGTTAAAAGTCCTTGGAAAGTATTGCAGACAGAAGGTAATCAAATCATAGTTAATCGATGGGGATTAGTCTACAGTTCTGAAGCTGCTTGAACATTTGGCTTCCTTTAAATACATTTAACTACAGATAGGAAGTAGGAAGTTCTAAAAATAAAACAGTTCTTACAGTTTAAAATGGTTCACCTCATTAAAAAAAAGTCCTTTACTTTTAAAATTTTTTTCAAATTTTTGTTCTAGTGTTGAAATTATTTTATAAAATAATAATACATAAATATTTTTTGTATTTTTTTGTTAACATAAAAACCTTTCTTTGTATGAAATCTGTTTAAAACTGGATTGAGTCCTACATCCGATGTTAGCTGGTTTTTTGGCATAGTCTCTGTATGTCGAATTTTAATGACAACCATTTGGCCTGATGTGTGGCCATCATGGGGGAATCCCATCATCATCATCAGGGGCACTGCTGTCAACGCCAAGTCACGTTTTCGCCTGGCTTCTCTTGGCTTGCTGAACTATCTCTGCCTTCTTTTCAAATTTTAGCCAGTATTATTCAGTTTCACCCGGCTTTTCCGCATTTTCTAGCCGCGTTTTTTGTTCGTGGGAGATTCGTGACGTGACGAGTTGCCACGCTAATGCACGCCCTGCAAAGTATGCAATAAATTTAATGTTAGTTTAAGGGCACCTGGGTGTGGGTGAAGGATTCCCTGGCATCTCTCTATCATAAACATTAACAGCTTTTACTTATATCATGACAGTCGCTTTAACACTCGACACAATAGCAAATGCGACCATCTAGGCAAAAGGATGCTGCGATTTTTCCGACATGCAACAAACTGTTTGCTTAATAAGTTCCTGCCGAATTCTGGAACCACATGAAAGCAAACCACTTGGGGAATCCCCCACCAGACTGAGGTTAAAAACCCTTCATTCGAAGGGTGCCCTCCTTTGCGGTCACTATGAGAGAATCCTCTGGCATGCCCATCACGTCTCGATTCGTTTAAAACTTCAACCCGCCGCCGGTAAAAATCAAATTCAATTAGTCCATGTGCCAGGAAAGCGAAAAAGTGTTTGCAATCTGTTTTCGAATTCTGTTGGCGTTTATTCTTGGACTTTAATCTTATTTTTTACAATGCGTTTTATGGCTGCTTATATTATTATTTTATTGAGAAGCTGTTCACATCTTCTCCCTTAAAATCTTTACCTGAATTTGAAAATATCTATAGTTATAAAATTTTTGTTAAAGAGTTATAAAATGTTTTACGTATAGGAAATAATTAAGATTATAAATATTTTAATTACATATTTGAAGGTTTTGGTTGATATTTAATAGGTGAAAAATAATCAAATCAAAATACAATGTGTTATAGTGGCTATAGCTTTAAATAGATTATTAAAGAATTAATAAACGGCAAAAATAACTGATGTGTAAGAATACAAAAACTCCAGATTTGATACTAAGGGAGCTTCGCTAGTTTTTCAAAATAAGTATTAGAACCAGTGCGATGATGAAACCAGAGAAGATTAAGCCCATTGTGGTATGGGTTCCAGTCTTTTGAGTCCCTGTAGCATCCTCCGTGGTTAACATCATGGTACTGGCCATTGTCGATCTACGTGGTCCCCAGTTCATCACTTCCTGATACGAAGGCGGCGGAGTGTTAGGCTCCACATTGATTGTCTCCAAAGGAACTCCTATCGGCGAACTCATTTATATCTATATAGCAAAAAGGTATAGACTTTAGAAATAATTTAATAAACTCTTGAATTTTGATTTTAGCAACCACTTTACGCGAGGTCTTGAATACAACTGTTTTTCAAGATGACGAACGAAAAAGAATACTATACAATGGGGAACGTTTCAGACGTTTGTTTTTTGGGTAATAATCTGTGAGCGATCACAAAATGTTACTCAGCTTTAAGTAAAAGAATTGATAAGCTTTGGTTCAGAATTCTACACTTTGGAAAACAAGCACTGGAACTCAAAAAGTACTTGTTGATAAAATATATTTTTATTTTTCATTGAACACTTAAGATATAAAATAATTAATTTCTGTTTTTTATATTATAAATATAAAAATTTATAATTATATTATATAAACATTTTTAAAAAACACATATGTATATTGTGGAATTATTGTTCTCACTGTGACTCTTGCAAGACTTTTTAAAAAGCGAACTTATATATTTAATGTTCCACTTGATTGAGATTATCGTTCGCTTTTATGAATCATTAAGTCAGAAAGCTCAATTTTTATAATATATTTATAAAATATATAATAATAATAATAGATTTTATTGTAAGCACTGTAAGAGTATACACAAAATCGATGAATTTAATATTTTAGGTATTTGGTAATTTATGTTAAAAATACGTTTTATTTGTTTGTAACTTTTTTTAACTTTAAAACTAAATGTATAGAATAATAGTTGCAGTTCATCCGATCTGAATTGAAGCAAGTCTTTTTGATGGCCTTGCAGGGAAAATTTAAAAATAAATGCAAAATGCTGATTCATGTGAGGGCTTATCCAGTTCTGAATTTATAGACGAACGATCCCCAGTGACGCCTTGCAGCTTGGACACGAGTGATGGACCTCATTGAAGCCATTAATGATCCATGGGAGCAGCCAGCATCCCAGTCCGCAGGTGGCAAACATAACTACGAAGGAGGCCACGTAGGCAATACTTCCGCGACGGGTTGTGGTAGTAGTCTCAATCTCGTCGAGGCATTTGGGACAGATCGTGAGTACCGAGGTGAGACCTGTGGAATCCCGCGACGTAAGAACCGTGGTACTTCCCAATTCCGATCCAGGTGGAACCCAGCCCATCGCCTCTGAATACGAAGGCGGGGGCGTGGCAGGCCTCTCACAGGCTAATTGCGAGCTCATTATGATCTTCAAATCTTTAATATATTTCTCTTATTTATTTCAAGTACCGCAAATGATATTAGAGTCTTTGAAAATTTGGCTTTTAGACTTTTTATGAAACTAGATGGGGTTTTTTTGTATTTATTATTATAGTTTTTTTAAAGTTGTAGTGACTTTAAAGCTAGTATACTTCAATAACCAATCTCTAATAGTAAATGCTTGAAAAAACTAATGTCTGAATTTGGTTCGCTAAGCATAAAAAATGAAATTATAAGTACAGTCACATGTTTATGCACACAGACGCGGTCAAATAAATATTACTTTTCAAGCTATAAAAAAATGTTTTTTAGTTGTTTTAAGTTATATACTTTTAAAGACATGTTTATATTTTGTTGAGCTAACACAATGAATTTAATAAGACAATTTTTAAAAACTCAATTCAATGTTGCCTTTCAATATATTCAACACTTTTATTTTTATATTTTATTATTTTTTTATATAATATTTATTGGATTAAAGCGAATGGAAGTGGGCAACCACTTTAAGCGAAAGCCTGAAGTAAACTGATTTCCTGAACTTGCATTGCTAAGCTCTGGAAAATGTTTGATAAGCGATTCCGAGAAACAAGAGTAGAATGATTTTTCGGAAACAGTGAGTTGGCGGGATTGCCGGCTTAACAAATGCAATGTTATTGATAAGCATTAATAACCGATCCGCTTTTACTCACATAATTATTGATTGCGTCACTGGAATTCAAATTATCAAAAATAAAAGGGGTCTATAAGTGGAAACTGAATGCCGGGTACTTAATTATTAAGGCATTTGTTTATATCGTTTGAGCTTAGCTGGCATAAATAATTTGAGAAAGCTATATGTTATGCCTAATTTGTATTATTTGTATTGATTTATTTGGTAATAAATAAGTTTATAAAGAATTTACAAGGAAAGTACCTTTTGCATGACTAATCTGTTAAAAGCCGTCAAAATTTCTTTAATTGTACTGAACCATATCAAATTATATGGAAAATATAAGAAAATGAAAGACTGTTTAGACTTGATGTTTAACTTGTTTATTTAAAAGCTTAATAATTTACAAAATTGGATACCAGAAATGTTGAATGTTGAAGGTACGTTCGGCACGACTTTTTCGTTGAAAAGAGCATTCCAATATTCCAATAATTCTCGGAAATATGACTCACTTAAGTTTGTCCAACAAAGCGAGTCCAACAAAGGCAGTTGGGTCAGCAAAAAATTTTAGAATACCCTGTTGAATTGAGACGAGGGAACTACCATATTCTAAAAACTGATGACAAGCTTGAACTAAAAATCTGAGATTTATTTGACCCATCCGTAGGATAACCCAACTTAAACCAATCAAACGCAACTTAGTAAATCTCAACTGTTCTTTAAAGTGTTCCCAAGCGATAAATTCGATTTATGCAAAGATATACAGATACCCATTTAGCTATTAAGCCCACGCATTTGCATATATATATGCACGCCGTTGGAATTCAATAAATGTGAGACTCATCCATCACTGTCAGCTTAGGCTGCATGTGGATCGGGCTTTAAAGGCGCCTTAAATGCGGCGTTTAAAGCACCGGCAAAATGTCAAATGTGTGAAGTGATGTGATGTGCCGTGTGTTGGGCCAATGAAATATGGCCAGCAGACATTGCGTATACGCAATGGCGACCCGAGAAATATGTGTAGCATCCCCACTTATGGATGCTGTCAATGAATTTCGTAGGCGAGAGAAGACTGAAATGAAATTTTCCCAACGACCAATTGCAAATGCTGACGTGCCGTTGAAAATTCAAATTTTTCCAAAGCAATTACTCAGGATGCTTTGATGTGGCTGCTTAGAAGGCTTTGAACTCGGCCAGCCAATAAAATATATATATGTGGAGTATAGGAGAAATGAGTAACAAAGTCAGAATGCCTGGAATGCAGGCGAGTGCCTAAACATTCTCGGCAGCCCAGTAGCTATTTCAATTTTGAATGTCCATGTCCTGCCACATTGCCCGAGGAAAAGCCGACAGCTTCTTGAGCCCCATTTTCCCCTTTTTAAGCGCCTTTATGGCTAATTAAATGAAATTGAACAGGTCCGCGCTTAATTGCCAGCGTCAGCAGGTGTATTAAAAATTAATAAAAAGCGTAGAACTCAACGAAAATGTTTAACGTTCATGGGCTTTTGCAAGTGGTATGGGGTTGGTGTGGCTGAAATGTTTTTTATTGACTCCCGGTCCATGTCCCATGGCTTTTAATTAACTTTTCGTATTGCCGTCGCCATGCGAACGGATTTTGTGCCAAGAGCTTAGGGAGAAAAGGATTTTAAAGCCGGCGAAAATGTGGTTAAGTTTTAAATTCCCGTTTGTACCATTCGCAATATTTGTATTTGTAGGGGCGCACCACATGGCGTATGATTAATGCGTCGCAGGGACTCTGCACATTTCATTAAATAAATTGTAATTTATCAAAAGCAGTGAGGAGTTGGCGATTTGAACCCCTACCACCAACATACAAACACAAGCCAAATCAAATAAATTACAGACAAGTTGAAAAACTTTGACCATTAAATGCCCTAAACCAAATACGGCCAATGACGACTTGTTTGCTGTTTTTTTTTTTACTTTTGCCGGATTGTTGTTCTTATTCGCCCAGCATTTCATTGCAATTGATTTTTGGTGTCAGCTGCACGCTCACCCGTAGACAGACATGTCCAGGCCTTAGCCTCCAGTGTCCTGCCACATTTTCCCACAATTCACCCAAAACCCACTCCACACCCCACCGAAGGCAACCCACCGACAAATGCTGTGGTTGCGGCTTAAGTTTGTCGGCAAATTGAAAACTTTGTTGGTTAACTTGACCTGCCGAAAGCGAGGGGGAGTGGCAGAAAATAGCCCCAAAGCTGGGGGGCACATCAAAACAACATTTTTTCGTAGTCACCACCCTGAAATTTGGCCCATTCCACTGCCCAAATAAACAACCAGGCGGACAAGCCGACGAAACCAGAAGGACTCGGTCGCCTGTTGTGGCTGGATTTCTGGCCATCCAGCTGATTGCATTAACCACCCGAAAGTGGAGCCAAACAATAACGAAAATCAGGGGGAATCAGGATTCCTTCTCTTGATGGAAAATCATTTACTTCGCCCAAGGACATTTGAGGTGGAAAAGTGCCTTTGTTTATTCTATGTTTTGCGATAGATCATTTTACTTTATATCAAATACTTAACGAACGTAGAAACTTTTCTAATGCGCTTCATTATGAAATGTTTTCAGATCTATTGAATTTTCAGAAAATTTTTAGATTTATTTTATATTTTGGGTCAAATGCTTAGTGTTTGTTTAATAACAATAATATTTAATATAAAAAGGGTAGCTATTAAAATTTAATTTGTGATCTTTTTAAACAGCTTTCCTTTTAGGATTTTCCTAAATACTCTAATAAAGAACTTATATTTTTTAATGTGTTTTTCAATAATAAGTATGTATAATTAAAGAGTTTAAAGTTGATAAAAAAAAATTTAACGGAAACTAAACTATATAAATGGTATTCATTCGTTTGGTGTAACGGAGGTTTATGAGAAAATTCGAAAGAACACAACCAGGCGGTAATTTAATGGGAAATTAATATTAAAATGAATAAATGTTACCAATTATTTCTTACTAATCAGCTACATTAAATTTTTACTTGGTATGTAAGTAGCCTACCTACGTATATCCTAACTTTAAAGGATGTCTATAGAACTTTCTCCTCCCCGAGCATACAACGCTATTTCCAACTACCCAAAAATAGCTTTTCTAAAGGTGGAAAATCCAAGTTGCTTTTAATATAAATAAATAAACAGACGTCTATGTGAATTGAAGGCCTACAGACAGCTGGCAACTCAAGCCTTCGGTTACCATCTGTTAATGGAAAAGGGAAACTCGGCCCAAAGCCTCTTAGGATGGCTAGCCGAAGTCCCCGGCCCCCGCATGGCAGACACTGTAGAGGGAGGGGGTTCGTGGCACAGGATGCACCTGGGCCACCGTGAGCTCCTCGTCCAGCTGGACATCGGTGCTGGAGAAGGGAGAGGCGCCGGTGATCTGGCCATAAATGGGCTGCATCACCCGGATGCTGGCCACCCTTTCCCGCCAGGTGTGCCAGAAGTGCTGCTTGAAGATGTGACCCCCGAACTCGAAGATCATGGGGTGCTCCAGAATGGCCAGGGGCTTGCCCAGTGGCTGGACAATGTTCAGCATCATGAGGCAGCGGGTGGCCTTCCTGAAAAAGTGGAAGCGGATCAACTGCAGGGGCAGCATGCTAACCAGCTCGAAGCTCTCGATCTCCGGATCCAATCCTCTGGCCAGGAAACTGGGCACATCTCCGTACTTCGAGAAGTTGTCGCAGCCGAAGAGCAGTCGATTGCAGGTGAGGCCTATTTGGTATTGGCGTAGGCCCACCCCACGGATGTCCACCAGGGTGAAGGGATTCTCCACCAGCACGGGCTCGTAGATCTCCTCGTATTCGGCCAGCAAAACTTTCTGCACTCGGAACATACCCGCCAGCGACAGCGAGTTCTGTAAGTTTGGCTATAATTTAATTGAAATGTCAATCAAAGTTTGGCCCCGTCTATTTGTTTGCTTTGGGCTGTCAGCTGTTGTCGATTCTGTCGCCTGCTGCGGTATCGAAAACTATCCGGCCAAGTCGATTAGATCGTCGCCATAGCCCAATCCCATTCCCATTCCCATTGCCATGGCCATCATCAAATGCAAATCACTGGACATCCGATGTCATTCTAACTCGAAGTCGGGGTCTGGATTTGAATTTAAATTGGCATTGGGTGGAAAGTCAGTGGGCATGGCTGATGGGCTAAAATGCTTGCATTAGGTGCACTCAGTCGAGGGCAAAGCGAAGTGCTGATGGGCATAATGATGCCGCCAAAGAGATCTAGAGAAAGTCGACCAGGGTAGCAGGGTGCCTCAATAAGAAAGCAAAATTATTAAAGTAAATGATAAATTTAAAAGAATTTCCCATTTCTGTGAAATATCCGGCACTTAAACAATTATCTTTTGAATTTGTTCCCCTAAAATCATAAACCAATTATTTAAAAAAAAAGTGTATAAAAGTATGCAACATTATATTTTGAATTGGTTCGATGGATAAACTTTTTTACTGCATACTTTTAGACACCTAGGTCAAGATTTTTATTCAATACTTAAAGACATAGGACAACAACCACTATTTTTTTTTAAATTAAAAGAATGATGAATTCAAAGATATTTTCCCTGCATACTTTTGGACTCCTATCTAATTTCAAATCTCTTGTGATTTCTGTGGCATCCCTAACAAAATCAAATTTCCTAATATTACTAAAATATCTTTTCATTTTTATGTTTTACTTGAATATTTGTTATTGAACATCAATGGTCGGCAATTCACTTGCTAA